GCCTTTCTCCCCGTTGTGTCAAGTCACTTAATGAAAACATTCTTATTGTATCGTAGAGACAATTCGCAAAAAATCTGAGACGCTAAATTGCATTTACTTCCCTTGAAACGTTGAGCGCGTTATAGTAGTCGTCACTGTTATATATTTGCTCATAGAATATTTGAGTTGAGCACTACATTGTAAAATTATAGTGCGAGGGAACCGCAGCAGATGTGTTTTTGTCGTGTTCCCACCCGCCTCACAGCGGCCAATGTCTGCTAAACCAATCTCCTTACGTTGGATCGACCCTCTCCTCCTCTCAACCTGCGTTTTTAATGACGAAGCCACGCTGCTCCGACTCTTCCTCCTCGCCGCCTGAATTGAGGCCAAACCTGGATCTCTTTGGTACTACTCCTTTTGTCAAGCCACCTGGGCCACCGCGACTTTTCTGTAAGTTACAGCTCCCGCAATGTTTGGGGCCATCTTCGCTGCAGTAGTCTGGACAACTCTGAGTATTTTTCGTCTGCCTTCAACTGCCCCAGTTGTCTCGTGCCTCTACCCGCTCCTACGCCTCCTGCCCTTCCTGTTTTCCACACAAATGCTCAAGCCTCTGACCTGGCCACGCCGTCTAGTCTTAAGCTTCTGCATTTCAGCGCTAACGGCCTACTCGGCAAGCTTGACCAGCTCTTTACATTGATGCGTAGCGGCTGTAGCGGCTTTCTAAGAGCCAAAGTGGATTAACTCCACCAAGGTCCCTGGCTGTGCTGACCACGCGATCGTCCGTCACGACCGCCGTTGCAAAAAAGGCGCAGGTTTAGATCCGTGAATCGTCGTCTTTGGGTACTCTGCGTGTTTATCTAAAGCCCGTCAGTTCAAGAGTTGTGTCTAGAGTATACCATGTGCCTGTAAATAGTTGGTCGCGATGTATACATGAGGATTAATACGCAGTATTTTCTGCAGACATATCTGCACAAAATATATCAAATCAAATTTCGGTCTACACCTCTAGGCTCTTAAGTATAAATCAATTTCTGAAAAATTTAAACAGCTGAAAATGCAATAGGAAGGCTAAGGTACCCACTGGTAAGTTGGGTATCTTACAGCTTTGCCAAGCAGGGGCACAATACTGGCGGATCATGTGCGTGGGCTATGTGTAGCAATATTAATTTATCATGCTTTCAAAATGGTACTAGAAGATATATCCGGTTAAACATCTCAAAAATGCGCTGTTACTCATCCGTGACTCTGAAATAATTTGAAATAAAAATGGATCCACGTAACTGGTGTTTCCGTTCTTCGTCCCGTTCTTCCGTCCCTACGTCAGAATGTTAAGAGGTTTGCGAAAATGGGAGTCCACTTATATGGTGCTCTTATTATCCTTTCTTTGGACAAATTCTATTGTGAATTTATTTCGCACATATTCCTGCACTAGACTTCACCGAAATCAACGAAAACAATTTCTGTAATCTAGTGCAAAGTTGCGTATGATCGCATCTTGTAGAAAACGTGATGATTTAGCAGCTTTATCATAAAAGAAAAATCCAGTGTTGTGTCGATCGCATGTGTTGCTCTGCTGGCCAAATGATTTGAACTATAAACTTCAGCTCGCCAGCCTGGTGTTCCTATGCTAGGAATAAAGTAAGAATTATTCATAAAATTGCATTTATTAATTTGAACTATACAAATTTGCTCATTTGGGTATAAAGTCTTTTGGAATATTGCTAATGGTTTTCAAATAGATGGACGTTGGCGCTTCATGTACCACTGGTAACTATAGGGGTGATGTTCTCCATCCAGATTAGAAGATTGTGCCAGACAAACGGGTGGTGTGGAAGATTTTCTCAATAGAGCAGATGTACGCAGCCGTGCGGAAGTCCAAACCAAGGTTATATCGGTCGGCAGTATCCATCATTGCCTGCAAAAAAACAACAATTATTAAATAACGACAGGTGAAGAATACAGGAATTATTAATTGCGAGTAAATATTCTTAAACTAACCTTTGCAGTATGCTCCACGGTGTACTCGAGACCAGAATTAACAATGTCGAGCTCCGATGCATTCTAAAATTAATGTAGTGCAGACTAAGTATGCATTTTAGACCCTGACGTAAGATACATCACAGAAAATAAGAAAGTATGTCAA